CCCCCCCCGCACGGTAGAGTGACAGATTTAAGAGCTGGAGTCACAAAGTCTGGCCTCTGTGGTCCCCAGGGCACGTTTCTTTCACTCTTGCGACACTCTTGCCTTCCATTCCAGACCTCAGAGAGGAGGTGATGCATCGGTGGCTCTTCCAGTCATAAACAAGTAGAACATTTGCATTTGGCTTTGGAGGTGCTTTGCTTTGAGACCCCGGCACCCGTGCTGCGAGATTTACAACCTGACGGCGTCAATGACACTCCAGTACGTTTGCCATTTCGTGCGGAAGTACGACCTGGGTCTCCGCCCGCCAGCCACATTTTCACTCTTTAAGCTCAGGGCTCTCTCGACCTGCGATTGGCCCTGTAATCTCCAGTCCTTCTGGCTTCAGGAGGAAGGCAGAAAACCAGACCAGCAGCACCGTTTTGTTAGCAATGCGTATTGGGGTGTAGGTGAACCTTTAAATTGAAAAGCGAAGGCTCCGTCCTCAACGTTTTGCTCTAGAAGTCGCTGCGATTGTTTTCACGGAAGAGAAAATGTCTGTGACTTCAAGTCCATCTACATAATGAAAATGAGACAAAAACGTCATTTTCAAAGAAGGGGACTCCTTGGGAACTGGAACGGCGGGCGAGATGGTGTGGGACGGCCTCTCGGGTAAATACGAAAGGGGCACATTCGAGTCACGTGCCGCTCACCTGCCTCACTTACAGCCTCCTTCTTTTATGCTCCACAAAATCAATGTCACTGCGGCTTGCTCCTCTTGTGTATGCACTACGGTGACCGCCCTCGGCTTCGCCCAGCATTTTCTGGTGACTGTTGCAAAGATTGGTTTGCAGGCTGAGATTTTTCTGCAGATACGTGCGTTTTCCTGCCCGGAGCAGCAGGAATAAATCAGCGCTCAGGGTTTGCACTGGCTATACTGTGAGCCTGAGGTATTGTTTGTCATTTTTACAAGGCTCTACATTCGGTGTTAGTGAGGACCAACAGGTTGCTCCTGGCAGGGCGCCTGCCGTCTCCAGCTTCGCAGTCAGATCGCGCCCCCGCAACCCGCGGAGCCCCTGCCGCTCGGCTGTCCTGTAGACTCACCGCCCTCCTTCCCTGCCCGTCAACCAGCCATTCGAGAATGCAAGCTCATTTGAACACCGGCCTGAGCAAGCTATAGGCGAAGGCTTGGTAAATCTGCTACAGGAGGAAAATCACATAATACGGCCCAAAGGCACATGTAAATTGTGTTTGAATTACCCTCTCTTTGGGGATTATCTGTGCTGCGGTTCCCCTCCGTGAGTGTGGGTAATTATGAGTCAGATGCAAAAGGCGATAGTTCCTCTGGCAAACAGTGTTTGCTCAGGCTGCTGAGCTGGTTGGGGAGACCCTGCCGTGTTTCCTCAAACGTAGCCATTCGGGGGCGCCCGGGGGGCTCCGTCGGTTGAGCGTCCGACTTCGGCTCAGGTCACACCTCGGGGTTGGTGGGTTCGAGCCCCGCGTCGGGCTCTGTGCTGACAGCTCAGGGCCTGGAGCCTGCCTCAGACTCTGTGTCTCCCTCTCTCTCTGCCCCTCCCCTGCTCACGCTCTTTCTCTCGCTCAAAAATAAATAAACGTTAAAAAAAGAAAAAGAAAAAAGTAGCCATTCGGAAACGGGCCAGGGCTACCGCTTTTGATTTCTAGACAGCCTCTCCTGTTGGTTTGGTAGAAGACACAGTTGCGGTGGTGACAGGAGTGGCAATAATCCTACCGGTCCTCCGCAGAGCCTGAGGATAGTGGAGTATCCGGAAGTGGCCAGAACCACGTGACCTCACTGATTGCAGCAGGCGTAACGTAATTCCTCTCTGACATAACCATCTGCATATCCATCCCTCCCTTGGTCGTTCGTTCGTAGATCTTGCTGGTAGGTAACGGAGGCAGTTCCACAGCCGCTTCTTTGGCCCTGAGTCCTGAGCATCCATCAGTGTGAGCCGAACGCCCAGAATCTCCAGGTGTGGATTCCTATTAAGACCCAAATCGACGAAGACCCTGGATAAATACATAACAGATCTCGCTGGTGCCACTGGCGTTTTGGACTCAACTCCACTTGTCCCGTGAACATTCAGTTCACCGGACTGAGCCCGTTCCTCTTGCTTCTCGCTTCTTCGGCTGGTCGTTTCTGCAGCCCGCGTCCTGCCCGGGCCCCGGAGGCCGTCCCCCCACGCTGCCCGTGTGCTTCACCCCCGCGCAAGTCACTGCCAGGATGCAGGAGAAGACCTCACACAGCGGGAACCAGGGCTCGGCTTCTAAATACTCACAAAGTGACCTCGGAGTCAAGGCAAGACCCTCGCGCGAGCCAACAATGACCCTTCTCTACTCAGAGGCAGATACACCAAACTTTTGATCTGTTTAATTTGCCCATCTTGCCACCCTTGGAGACACTGGCCCGGGCTCCGTTGTCACTGTCTCTTGGTGGTGGTTTTAGCCCAGTCAGCTGGAGGCCGTTCACCGATCTCCATGGTTGCTGTCCTAGCGGTCGCCAGCCATCACCTGCACTCCTGGCTTCCACCATCGTCTTCCAATAATCCATTCTCCCAGCAGCCAGAGTGATATTTTTAGAACCTCACATGCAGGGACTCCCTGTTGCTCTCAGGTCACCTTCAGCCTCCTTGCCGTGGCCCCTGCCCCATGCACGTCTCATCCGCAACCCTCCCTCCGCTCCAGACTATGGAGCCGTCCTGCCTGTTGCTCTAACACCGCCTGATCTCCCAGCCTCAGGACTTCTGCTGTTCTATCCGTCTGAACACTGTTCCTCCACACATACCTACTTCTCTTCCTTAGGTCGCAGCCGCTTTAGTCGCACGCCCCCATCTTTAACCTCATGGCAACAGCACCTTCCACAGACTCAGCTGTATTTTTGCTAACTTTTTATTGTCACCCCATCCCCCGGCCCCTCCTGGGACGTGAGCCTCGTGAGCACTTTAACTTAGGTTGTTTGCCCGTCCCCGTATCCCCAGCACCTAACATCACGCCGAACACAGAGCTGCAGTAAATACTTGTGGGGCAAGTAATGATACACAAATAGTCTGGCCCCTATGGGGAAGGAGGTTCGATGAGAGTTTATCGAAACCCTAATCTCAGCTTGTTTTTCTGACTTGGGTTGGGTTAAGTCCCCAGGGCCAAAGTTCTTGCTGTAGCATGTTGGGGGATATTCTGTCTCCGGGAACTTGGCTGTGACAACTTCAAGAGGCCCAGGAACTGGTTCCCTCTTGAGCAAGACTCCGAGAACGCCTCGGTCTCCACCTTGGAACCGAGACTGTTGGGCCACGTTCAGGGGCTTATTATGTTCCTGTCTGTTTGGGGAAGGGCTTTTGTTTATAACCCCGACAGTGAAAATTCAATCAAGCAACCAGTTTCAAATGTTGCTCTGCATATCAAAAATTTTACATACGATTTTTTTTTTTTTTTTTAAACTGGACGGCCCAGATAGGTCAAAATCATGCGGAGGTAATTTAAGCCTCTCTGTGTGCCGCTGACGGAGGAATGAATGTTCGCGGCCATGAGCCGGCCCCTCCCCCATGGCTTTTTATTATTATGTGGTTAGGCTTCTCTCTGAGCTTGCAATTCTCTGAATTCATGAGAAAATCTGGACTCCTCTGAAAACTGCAGAGACAGGAAAATTGCGTTCATGTGTTTGTTTTCATTATCTGGAATTGTGTATTTTCTAAATGATGATCCAAGGCCACTTGGAAAAATCCCCTGGTCATTCATTTCCCCCCTTCGTGGTCTGAAAGGTGTAAGTGCCTGAACAACCAAGGCCCTTCCTGCGAGTTTTTCAACAGAAGATTAATTCATTTCTTCTGTGATAGAGCTGTGTTTTCTCCTGGAGGATTCGCTGAATCTGTTCATGATTAATCGCAGAGTCGTGGGAGAAAAGGAGACTTCTGCGTCTTTCACACCGCGATAAGGGAAAAGGGCCAGATCTTCACCCCTTCCAAAGGTGCCGCATTTGGGGTACACGAGCGGGTACGGCCGGGGCTAATCTTTTCTCCCGTCTGAGTCCACAGCTATCACCATAAAGCCTGCCTGTAACACATGGTCATGAAGCTTGACTTCTTTTCTCATAACGTGGTAAAAATATGAGAAATGATACCTTTTCCCTCTTCCATACGGTTTCCAGATTTCTTGAGGGATACCTAAATTCATGAATCAGCACAGCTGGGCGGCGAGCAGGAACACTGCTATGATACAAACATTTTTCTTGTAAAAATCCTGTTTTGAAGATCCCGGACTGATGGGGATTTGTTTTATAAAAGATGTTTCCCTCGGGCTTATGTGACTGGAAAGCTGATTCAAAGCATGCCTTGGTCATTTGTGCCATTGTCTGAAAGCATGGCCAGAGCACGAGAGCTTTAACCGGGCAGCAAGATCGTTAACGCAGACACCAGCCCGTCCGTCGCGGGGACCAAACCCAGCTCGACCCCCGTTTCCTCCAACTGCCTTTCATTGCAGAAGCAGAAGTCTTTGTTGTTTTTTTTTTGTTTGTTTGTTTTTCATGTGTGCTTTTGAGACCACCCTCCAGGAATTGCTCTTTTTCTCCTAAAAGTGCCTTTGGGATTCTCCCAGTAATTCATGGAAGAGTGCAAATGTTTTTTGAGGAAGCTTGATTAAAATGTAACCCACGTCAGAGGCTGCCTTCACTAGTCATACGTCTGCCATCGCCCTCTCCTCCGTGCCTGCCCCTTGGTGCACAGTCTCTCTATTCCTCTCCACTCCTTCACCCTCCCCAAACCCCCTTCTCCAGGGCCTGGAGTTCAGTCTTTCCGTTCTTCCTTTCCTGACACTGTTTCTTGCTACCCTTGATCCTTTCTGGTTTTACCCTTAGCACCTCCTTCTTGCCCGACTCTGTTCCAGCCTGGCCGTCCCCCATTGTCCGGACCACTCGTCCTTTGCTTCTAACTAGATTTTCGCATGATCGGCCCCGAGGAGTAAGCTGCCTGAAACGGGCTATTCAGTGTTGCCCCCAAAAGTAGGCCATAGAGGGGAGGGTGACACACATGAGACACTGGATGGCATCGTCTTCTGTAGTGATCTTCACATGTGCCGCAGGTGGCTCAGAATGAATGGCCGTCGGCTGGCTGGGGTTCCGGAGAGTTGCTTTGGTCTGACTCGTCTACGTGCATGTTTCGTGTAATAACGTTCTTGACTCGTTCTCGTCCCGCCGCCATCAGTGAGTCAGAGGGCAGGCAGGATTCCTCTTGAAGGATTTCCCGGATGGAAATGGAAGCCGGTCACCCACGTGGAGAAGGTTTTCCAGAGGTTGTCGGGGTTGGAGGTGAACTTCAGAGGGGACAGGGGTAGGGCCGGTGGCGGTGGCGAGGAGTCTCTCGCCTCAGTTAAAGGGTGTGGGTCCAGAGATACGGGCAGTGTTCTGGAAGCCGCGGAGAGGTGTTATGGGAAATTAAAGGCCGTGTTTACTTTTGGCAGCATAAAAGAGAGACCCTCAAGATGACCAAGTACGTAGAGCTGGTTATTGTCGCGGACAACCGAGAGGTAAGAGCTTTATAAAACTTCTCGGTACAGTTGGTTAAAAACAGAAATAGGGAGAAGAAAATATTGAGCAAGTTATCCCTCGCCCTGATTAACCTCATTCTCTATGAGCCCTTAAAAGCATTGGAAACAACCCGTTGAAGCGGTTTCCTAGTATTACAACATATGAAATATTACAAATGCACCTGATAATCCAAAATAATGACAAGGGCTGCAGTAAAGGCAGGACGGCCCTGTGGCTAAGGTCCCCAAACAGAAGTATTCGGGGGAAATGGCAGATGGCTTAAGAAGGTATTCTACAGCATTTGGGGGGAAAGTTGGGTTTAAAAATGTCCGACGCATCCCAAACCGAAATGAATTAACGAATGCAGGCTGCAGGGACACGGCAGAAAAACTGACGTGTGCTTCGGTGCTACGTTAGCTTTCTTCCTTTCGTTGGTTTCCGGTGAGCTGTTTTGAGATGATCTTCTCTGAATTCCTTCCTCACCTCTGCCACATGGTCTGGATGAGGTGACTTTTTCTCGTGAACTCACTCGACACCTACGAATGAAACAGGCTCAACCGTTTCTCAGAAAACTGTTCCCGTTCAGGAAGGTCAGATTTGAGGGGAGAAGGGGACCTCATTAACTTTTCTCCCTCCTCCTCTGCCTTGTTTGACCGGTGGCCATGAGCTTCTATTCCTTTTGCTGTTTCTTTTTTAAAAACAAATATAAAGGAAATTTCTGAGGATGTTAAAATCAAGTTGATGATATGAAAAATGGCTTTGGACTGCCTTCTCGCTGTCTGTTCTCTCCGCCAAAACATGTCACAGCCTCCACCATTTGTGAGGCTGGAAAAATCACAGAAGTGGCTGTCTCCTGAGCGCTTGGCTTGGGCAAATTTCAGGGAGTTTCAGAAAGTCCCCAGACAGGGAAATTTACTCATCAGGATGGGAACTCATTTCACCGTAAACTGGGGAGGGCCCCGGGTGGTGTGTGAAGCCCAAGACTTCACATTTCCAGGAGCTGGGAAGATGAGATTCGATGGATATTCTTGCCGTTATTAATGCTGACATTTAAAATTATTAAGTTTCAGAGGCAAGGAAAAGATCTGGAAAAAGTTAAGCAGCGATTAATAGAGATCGCTAATCACGTTGACAAGGTAAGTTCTTCTTGGGGTAATTAAATCACTCAAATCACGTAAATGTTTAGAAACGAGCTGCAGGGAATGAAGCACACCTCGTCTGACTTGGCAGTGAGATCGGTTCTGCCTCTGGTCCTGGGCTGGAACTCGGACTTCCCCTTCCTCTGAGCACAGAATTCCCGGGCCTGGAATGGCTACAGGAGATGCACGCTGTCTGGACCGCGGTGGCCTGGGGCTACATCTCCCTCCAGACTCCCTTCTGGCCAGAGACCCAGCGTGAGGGGAACCCTCCTCCATCAGAGCTGGAAAACCTGTAGGACGCATCCGACCCTCTGGGGAACTCCTAAGTGTGTCTCCTCCCAGGTCTCCCCAAGTTGCTCCCCAGTGGCCGCCCCGCCCCCCCAGGGGCCGAGGGCAGGCTGTCATTTATAATGGACACGCGGGCTCCAAGGTCCGGAGACACAGCCATTGGCTTTCGGTTCATTCGGCTGTTGGAATATCTCGCCGCCCCCCCCCCATTCAAAGAGGTTGGGAGCTTTGGCAACCAACCTTGGCAAAGGTGGTTCAGACCTAGAGGAAACCCCAGAAGCCTGGTCTAATCCCGGGAGTGTGTGCTCAGCAACACTCCCTACACTACCTGTCCACAAGCAGAGGGCGAAGCTGTGTGAGCACCTGCCCTTCTCCACGCACCCCGCGGAACAGAGCCATCAAGCTGTCTGGTGCTGGCTCTCGGTCTAAAATGGCTTCTCACACCCGCCTGCACGTTGGAGTTGCCTGGAAGCTTCCAAAGGCATCGCTGCCCGGGCACCTTGGCAACTGGGGGGCTGTTAATAACTTGCACCGGTAATTCGAGAACAACATACCTCGGAAAAGACCTGACGGACTGCATGGAATTTGCCAGCCTGGCTGTTCTTGTGTTTCTGGCCGAGAGAGAGTTCAATGGCTGAGCACCCGTAGGCGGGCCGCCCCCAGCAGACCCCGAGGCCCCTGCTGGGGGTCCGCGGGCTCCTCCAGATGCTCTGTGCCTCTGAACCTGCTCACTGAGGAGCCCTGGGCTCTGGCCAGTGTTCCAAGGTTCAGTTTTGCATCGCTGCAAGTGACAGCATCTCGGCCCCAAAACGACGACTGCTCCAGGGGCAACTTCACGTTAATAGCTGCCCGGCTGGCTGCGTTGGCCTGAAGGGAAGGGGGAGAACAACAGCCCAGGCCGAAAGACCAGGCAGTGATTTAGTGCAAAGGTGACCTTCTGAAACCTCCAGGCCACTCCCCCCCACCCCCCACCCCCGTAAGTAAAACACAGGAGGCGGGTCTGATGCTCAGAGGCGAGAGCGAGGCCTGGGCGCTGGAGCCGAGGGATGTTCCCCAGGTCCTGATCCCGCAGGGCAGGGCAGGGCAGAGCCCTGACGCGTGTGATCGCCCAAGCTTCGCCTCTTTAACCTCTCACCTCCAATCTGTCCCACGTCTTCTCAAGAAGTTAGCACCAGCCGCAGGTCCGTTAGCGCTGACCCTCTGTGACCTACTTCTGGAAGGGCTGGTCTTCCGTGCGTTTCATTTCTGCAGGTACCTCCCCTCTCACGGGAGTCTTTGTTCGCCCTCTCCTGAGCCGGTTGCCTGAAGGATGCGAGTTCTCGTGTCGGACCCCTCAGGGGCTTCCCTTTAATTCCACCCATTTTTTTCAGATCCGTTTCTTCCAGAAAGCCTCCCTTGAGCCCTCAAGCACAGCCCCCTCTGAATCCCTGGTTTCTGCCCTCTCTTGGGAGTTCAGTCTGTTGGAGTGAACTGTCCTAATGGCCAGGAGTCCCCAGCCTTGAGCCTCTTGCTGACCTCTGAGCAAGGGCAAGGGGACTCTCGTCCTTGTTCTTGGTGCCCCTGCTGAGCCCGGCACTCAGCAGGAGCCGAGCAAATCCTTGTCGCCGCTGCGTCCGTGGGCGAATCGATGCCACCGCTCTTGGATCGTGTCCACCCCCATCCTGGGCTGCATGGGCCAGGCCGACAGCCGCCAGGCCCCCGTCGAGCGTCTCCCCAGGCCTGCAGTCACAGTGGGTCATCTTGGAAGGGAGCCTGAGCACTCGCACAGAAGTGGCCATGCTACATAGCGGTTTAAATCTGGGCGCCAGGCCCACTCTGCTCGTGTCCACATCCCGGCTACGCCAGTTGTGCCTCGAGCCTCCAGGTCTCGGTGTCTCTGAGTATAAAACGGGGTTAATGCTAACTCTTGGTTCATGGAGCCGTCGTGAGCACTAAGAGAGCCGCGGCGTGGAAAGTCCTGAGTGCTGCGCCGAGGACGTAGTAAGTGCTCGCTGAGTGTCCGCTGTGGTTACGGGTATCAGCCATCAGCAGCCTGGGAAGAACGCTCCCAGCAGGCAGGATTGTGTATGATGACTCAGGAGGAGTAGCACGCACGACACTTGCTCAGTGACGCCGATTTGGAGAGGAAGGACCGTGTGTGATATGCTGACGTGTGAAGTCTGTTGTAAGGATGTGACCCGAGAGAGCCAGCAGAAATGGTAACCCGTCATGGTCCGAACAGCTCCTTGGTTGGCCAGCACCAACGTCAGCTCTGAGAAACAATGACACGTAGTCCCATACAGACCTTAGTGACCCTTCCATACAGCCCTCACCGGAGGCAAACAGTGTCCCCTTTACAGGTGACAACCCTGAAGCCCACACAGGGCATTGGCTCTGAGGTTGTGGCATAGCAAGGCGGTGTGGGCATCGGCACTGGACTTCTTACCCATCTGCCTCCTGATCACTGTTACCTTTGTGCCTGACACAGTGGGAAGTGTGGTCCCTCTGTCAAAAGGCAGCAGCCAAGACGCATGCCGTCAGGATTCCAGAGGAGTCCGGGAGCTTCGTTCAGCCCAGGAAGCCTGGGCTGGGAGCTTACGAGTGGATACCACAGACAAGACCAAGCAATGCTTTTTTTTTCCCCTCTCTCTCTAATTACTTTAAGTTCTAATTAGTTCCTTTAATGAACTATTGGTTAATTGCAGTATTGGTTTCAGGAGTAGATTTCAGTGGTTCATCATTTACATACAACACCCAGGGCTCATCACAAGTGGCCGCCTTCCTGCCCATCCCCCACCTAGCCCATCCCCCACCCACCTCCCTCCATCCACCCTCAGTGTGTTCTCTGTCGTTCAGAGTCTCTTCTGGTTTCTTTCCCTCTCTCTTTTTTTCTTCCCTCCCATATGTTCATCTGTTTTGTTTCTTAAATTCCACATATCACAGACCGAGCAATTCTTGATTAAAAACAAGCTGTTGGGCAGCATTTGGGTCGAAGCATTGTCTCATGAGCTTATTAATGTAATGCCCCTAATTGTCATCTGCTTGAAACCCAGTTGACGTTCTGCGATGTAGCTTGTGTCCCAGTCATACCCTTGTGCTCACCAGATGACCGCGGGGAGACGAGCAGGAGAAACGGCGAGCCTGCCCTCCGCGGGTTCAGCACCAGGGTCAGAGGCTCACACTTGGGGAGCTGATTGCCCTCTGGCTCACCACATTGGCATGGGGCTTAACCATCAAATGCGGAGCTTCTGTGACTTGTGTTACTTGTTGGCCCGGATCCTGGTAGAGGAAAAATGGGACGAGCTAACACCTGGAGCTTAACTTTGGCTGCTGTCATCAGTCACCTGTTTCTGCCTGGTTACCGGGCGTCTCAGAAAATGAGGACCTTCCCATTGTGTACCACCTCACCCCTCCTGGGTGTTGGAAGATTTTACAGCCAGCCAGGTGATCCCGTGTCCTCAACCCCCGGGGCCTGGGCACAGAGCCACCTCCTTAGCATAACGCACTTAAGGGGCAGGAAAGTAGTTGGGGGCAACACGGAGTTCTTCCCTCTGCCCTGACCACTCATCTCGCCCTGGATAAAACTATCCCTTAGCCATTAGAAGAATTGCTCGTCCTACCTCTGACCCAGGACGATCTGCTTGTGGAGGGAGGGCTGTAGGTTGAAGTCAGGGATGTGTACAGACGGGAGACAGAATAGCAATGACAATACTTGCCTTGGGCAGGGTACCTGAGACTTTCTATCACAAGGCTGTAAATGAGGAACTTCCTTTAGAAGATCTTTCCTGTGACACCTCTGGTGAGCTAGCTTCTGGCTGTGAGGAGAATGGTCAACGAAGTTCCGGAAGAAGGGTTCTGCTTATCCCTTTATTATTCCGAAAGATATTGATTTGTTCATTTGATTAGAACCTTCTCGGTTGGTTACAAGGGACAGAATGTGATCGTGTCAGCCAAGTCTGAGTCTTTGCTGAAAAATTAATACAGATTCGTTTTCAGCAACTCGTAGGTAGCACGTTTTGCTTAAAAGGAACAAATTATTGTCCTTGGCAGTGTCTGAAAAAGTCTAAGTCCCTCATTGTTTTTCTTGCCATAGTTATTAACTGGCTGTCTTTAGGCATAATGTGACTATGTTAGCAATAGTAACACATCTATATGCACATTTTAAATCACCAGTGAACTGTGTGGAACGTGTGCTTCCATACCAATAAGGGCAGACGTCAAAAAGCCTATCAACTTTGGCATCTAACTGGCCAACCACATTGGAAACCCAGTTAACACATCACTTTGTATCAGACGCTGCAAATATTTCTTAAATTCTAACACCACAGGAACAAGGGAGCAGAGAGGGATTTTTCTCACCCGGGTCAGTGAGGTTCACAACATGCAAATATGTACTAGCCTTCCTTTGAAGTTCTTATGAATGTGATCCCCAGAGGATGCCTGTCTCGGTCAGTTTTACAGACCACTGAACATTCGGATAGTGCTGGTGGGCGTCGAGGTATGGAATGACATCGACAAATGCTCGATTAGTCAGGACCCATTCACAAGCCTCCACGAATTCCTGGACTGGAGAAAGATGAAGCTTCTACCTCGAAAATCACATGACAACGCCCAGCTTATCAGGTAGGGTGTTCGTGGTCTGTTCTTTGCTTGAAGAACGCATGACCTCAGCAGCCCCCTGTCCTGGCAGTCGCTGAGGCTTCACGCCTCTCTGCAGAGCTCACTGGCTTGTACAAGGGTGTTTCCCAGCCCACAGCAGCGGGGCACACGCCATCCTGACCAAACTGTGGGTCTGTTGGGAACGTCTCCCTTTGAACCCCCTAGGAAACCTATCCCTCCAAGAGACGTCTTATTTTCTTTTTCCATCACCTGGATGTTTTCCTCTATGCAAATTTCTCTAGTCTCTGTCTTGATATAAAATTGTCCCGAGTAGGCGATTAAAAAAAAAAAAAAAAAAACTCATTTTCTTTCATTATTACCGAAAAATGTTTATGCAAGATGTGAGGACGATGTATTAGGATGATTATTGCCAGATGCCTGGAGAGAGGAAATGTTCATTCCTCCTCCTGTTTCTCTAGGACTCTGGTTTTCTAGATCAGAGGACCCCAGCGGTCTGCATTCTTTCGATCTCTGTGGACTGAGCATCCATCAGGAAGCCAGCACCCTTGAGGTGCTTTTAACATAACGGTGACCAGTACTGTAAGGCTCCCTGCTCTCAGGAGTCCCCAGTCCGTTGGGAGAAGGTGACAACGAACAAGGAAATTGCAGAGAGCCCTAAGTGTCACGGAGATAATAAAATGAGGGAAAACACAGCTATAATGTAACATACTATATTAGGAAGATATTCGGACACCTTTATATTTAAAGGGAAAAAAGTGTAATCATAAACTGAATTAGTAAGGAGTGCGTTTTTCCCAAAGTGACAAACTTTTTATTAAGACCCTTAAACCTTATTCTTACGTTCTCATGTAGCTCACTTCCCTGAATTGAAAGCTTCAGGGTCAGAGACACTTGTCTTAGGCAGATTGTGTCTAGTTTCTTAAAAACTTATAGAAAGCTAAAAACCATTCTTACCCCGTCCTCACTTAAAAAATGCCTGCATACAAACCGAGGCTGTTGGCATTCCCTGATAATTTACTTTGGCCATTTTCACAGGGTTGTTTGTTTGTTTTTTTTTCCCGCCTTGGATATTTGTGGTCGCCTCATATTTTATGCATTGATTAATCCTGAACTACTAAAAGTACATTTTAGATATTCTGAGTCAGAGTATTTTGTTTTGATTTTTTTTCCCCAAACGGAGTCTGTCCAACTTGAACATCTGGAAATAAATTAGCCTCTTATATAACCTTATTATTTATATGCATATATAATGGTATCTGTTAAAATGGTCTATATGGATGTAAATACAAAACCTGTAACCCCAACTGCTGTACATAGGAGTATGAAGGACGGACGGATGGACAGATGGATGGATAGATACATGCATACATACACAGATGAGGTTTTATATTTACTTACTCCCTTTTGTCCAGTTGAATGCTGTCAAAATAACTAACTTTTCAAACAGTATGTGTATACCTACATATGTACATGGCCAAGATAACATGAGTAAGTCATTTAAAGATTTAAAAGAGATTCCCTTAAAGAAGATTCAACAAATACAAACAATGTGGGTTTTTTTTTTAATTGTTTAATGTTTATTTATTTTTGAGAGACAGAGCGTGAGTGGCGGAGGGACAGAGGGAGAGACCCAGAATCCCAAGCAGGCTCCAGGCTCTGAGCTGTCAGCACAGAGCCCAACGCGGGGCTTGAACCCACAAACCGCAAGATCACGACCTGAGCCGAAGTCGGACGCTTAACCGGCTGAGCCGCCCAGGTGCCCCACAATGCCATTTCTCTCTAACAGATGGGAATGACCTTGGACACTTCACTGACTGAGCCACGCAGACACCCCTGACAAATACAAACAATGTTTAATTTGTAACGCAAGAGGGTCGAATGAACAACGCTTGCATGAAACAAGCCTTGATGTCATTGGACTCACTGAAGCCAGTACCTGAGCCATAACGTCCCCTCCTGGAAACTTCCTTCTGGTGTAGTAAGGCTTTGTGGCTGCTTATTCTACATTGACTCCAGAGGAGCAGTCATTTCTCTGCTGATTCCCCTTTTGCCAACTACGTTAGCATCACACTTTAAAGAGTTTGGGTTTCTGGCCTAATTGTAACGTCACTCAGGAAAGCAAACTTCAGCTACAACAGGAAGTCTAGTGAACCACCACATGCATTTCATTTAGTTACCAGTGATTTTCTGTGATGGCCTCAGCGCTTCATTAGCAGGCATTGTTCAAAAGGAGTAGCTCCTGGGGCGCCTGGATGGCCCTGTCGGTTAAGTGTCTGACTCTTGGTTTCAGCTCAGGTCACGACCTCACGGTTTGTGGTCAAGCCCTATGTCAGGCTCTGTGCTGACTGTGCAGAGCCTGCTTGGGTTTCTCTCTCCCTCTCTCTCTGTCTCAAAAATAAATAAGTAATCATGAAAAACAACAACAACAAAAACAAAAAGGAGCAGCTCCTTCCAGTCCACGGGGAATAGGCAGGATACGACTTGTAAGAACAAAGGTCACAGCTGGTCGTTGGCCGAGTCTTGCAAACAGAAATCTGAAAGGAGTACGAGACCACGATGCAAAGTCAATTTTAAAGGAACCGAGGCTCCAAATCACCTGCAAACACCCCCTCATGTGGCTGTTTTCATTTGGGTACCTTTTCTTGCTCTGACTCTTACTGGGATGCAGGAATGTCCAACAGAATCTCGAACGTTAGGAAATGACTTCGTCCCGTATTAATTTAAGAGTGGCTTTTTGTCTGTTTCCTAGTGGGGTTTATTTCCAAGGGACCACCATTGGGATGGCACCCATCATGAGTATGTGCACAGCAGAGCAGTCCGGAGGAATCGTCATGGTAAGTCAAGGGCACCAGCAGGCTGATGTTGGTGCCCCAGACACTTCCCTTGCTGTCTCGGGACAGCCCCGCTTTTATCAGACTCGGTAAAATGAGGCCTTTTTCTTAAATGGCTTTTAGATGTAATTCCACCTTATTTTCTAGCTCCGTTGATGATCTTCCCTACCCCATAATGTTTCAGGGACTCTTTATTAAAAACACCAAGTCACACACAAGTGAGGCGAGTGTGTAAAAATAACTCAGTGGAAGCCCGTCTGCCCCTTTTTTGGAGAAGAAGTTTCAGCTGGGGTCTTGGGCCAAGCATTTCAGTCCAGGATGCCTCCCGGCATTGGGATGAGCCAGGACACGGGGTTGCCCTCCTCATTCGGTTTCTTAGACAGACTGTGGTCTCACCAAACATTACTACCAGAATGGTTTTCTGATGGTTCTGCGTCCAAGGCCCAACAGCCAAAAGTCTGAGGTTTTTAACTGTTTACCACTGCACATGCTTGACCCACCTCCTAGCCAGTGTCCAATTTGTCTTTATAATAACATTAATCTTGGAAGGCAGATACTTAGGTTTATTGATCTGTAAGGATATTTTTGTCATATGTGGGCTCTATACGCTTATACAAGGGAGCAAAACAGGAAGAATATTTGGGGCTTGTTTCTTATGAATTTAAGAGGGAAAGAGCTTTGATATGCTACCCAGCAGGGGACTCCTGTTCCACTCCGTCCGTTACTTAGAAAAAAGGTTTCACCTCAGGCTGGTGCTGTCCCTCTTCCGAAAATATAGCGGCCCCTTTGCACCAGCCCTCAGCCAGGGCGTATTCTCGGAGACCAGTCTGACATCTCCGTTGAACGAACAGAACCTTGCCCTTCTAAGAAACCATGGTTTCCTCCACACTCTGTTTCCAAACAGAACCTTTCTGAATACTCCATTGTATTAAGGAGCCGAAGGAGTAACGTTCTGCTGACTCTTATTTTCCTTCCGTACTGCCTGACCTCAGCTTCTTAGTGAACATACATAACAAATGTTGTCTCTTCTCTGATAAGTGTTGCTAATTTCCTATAAACACGCACTGAACATATAAGCCGGAGAGGCCTTTGGGAAAAGCGTGGTCACTCTGGATTTCTGGCTTGTACAAGCTACCCTCTGGTTTTCTTTGAACTTACAAGCCCTGGGTGTGCTCTCCACCGTGGAAGTCCCTGGAAAGGTTGCTTTTTGTTGGTGCCAGGTTAATTTCAAGTCAGATCCTGACTATATTTTTACAGAGGAGCCTGTAAAATTTTTAAGAGGGAATAATTTTCTGTTTCAGGGCTCCATGGTCAGTTGCTCCTGACTTTGCCACGTAAAATGGGCATAAATATTTTTTAGAGCTCAAACTGAATTCCTCATAAGCATAGCAGACTCTGCCGTTTGGGGTGTTTAAACATTTTTATAACCATTCTGATCATATTTAAGTGGCTTTCTTCGGTTTGTATCCCTTATTCTGTTTCCATACAAGCGCTTGATCAAGATTCCTCCTTTAAAAAGCATACAGAAAAGCCTGGGTTTTTTTTCAAATGGATGAAAATGAACGTGGCAGATATAAGCAAATATGTGGACGGCAGTGGCAATCAGGTCGAGATCAAAGTTCATCAACAGGAAATATGTTTGACCGACATGTCAGCGGTGAAGGTCATCCTTAGACACATCCTTTGTCTGCTCCACTTAGGAGAGAGGCGTCAAGTGGGACGGAAGGCCACAGCCCCTTTAATTCTATAAAATTCCTGAGATAAATGAGCTCAATGTTTTGGCCAGACCTGAAACTTCTAGACTCACATTCTCCTATTATGTCTCTGGAATTAAGTTCATGGGTGTTCCATGTGACTATGCCTGCTTCAAGGACTCACAAATCTAAGAGGAAGGAAGTCAGGTAGCGAAGAAGCAAGAATCCCTATCAAATTGAAAAGATGAGTTCCACTCCTGTTTCGCTATTTTTTTAAGATAGAGCAAATCATGAATTCAGTAACTTAAAGCCATGCCTTTGTATCTAACTGAACTGAAACAATCTAGGTTTGGGGATGATGCCATAAATAAAGAGGTAGGTGGGGCGCCTGGTTGGTTCAGTCAGTTAAGCGTCTGACTCTGGATTTTTGACTCAGGTCATGATCTCACGGTTCATGGGATCGAGCCCTGCATCGGGCTCTGTGCTGACGGTGCAGAGCCTGCTTGGGATTCTCTCTCCCTCTGTCTCTGCCCCTTCCCTGCACACTCTTTCTCTCTTTCAAAATAAATAAATAAACTTGAAAAAATATTTTAAAATATATTTTAAAAAAATAATTAATTTAAAAAGAAGTAAGGTTTTTTTTTCTTATTACAAACCTAAACTGTTTGTCAGGGTCCCTTGAGAGACAATTCTGTTCATAAGCACCGATCCGTGAGACAGTGTAAAACAGTTTGGCAATTGAAAACAAACACAGGCCATTTGGTGATACAAAAGAATCAAATAATCGTTTTTAAAGGACGAATTCCTTGAATTTTGTGCCAGAGCATGTGAAATGTGGCCCTCCACATTCCTAGGTTGACGACTTTCCCTTTGCCAACCTGTGTTATTCTTGAGAATTGATTTCCTGAAACATACTTGTGAAGCTTCCTACAACAGGAAACTGTAAAATCTAAACAAAGTAATTTATTAGGAATTTCATCCATTCTAAGAATTACTTGGTTCCGTGATGTGCTGCTCTCTTCTTAGACTCAGGGCTGAAAAGGGGCAGCTACAGCTATAAGCAAGAACCTATAATAATCTTTTAGGAGCACACCTTTACACGGGGCCCCGCAAAGGTTATCTGTGTCAGGAATGATGCTTTCTCCAAAGCTCGGTGTCACTGTTTCCTGGCAGTTTCTTGGAAAACCCCTTATCTCTTTCCTGGGAGGCACAAAGCAGTATTTGAATAAGGGACCTTCTTTGCTCTGCGATGTGCAGCCCTTTTCAGAAACACCACCGATGGGCCCAATTTCTGCAAATCACATTTAGTAATGAACAGTTTTCGTGTGTTCAAGTTAAGGAACGATATTTTAATAATCAGCGTTGAATCATTTAGTAATGATACTGTAAGTAACAATAATTTCCAGTATCTGTTTAGCCAAGCCAACCACGTACTCCGTTAAGATAGGGGTGGCCATACAATGCTTGCTAGACGGAGAGACCACCTTCCAAAACCCATCAAAGGGTAGAACGAACCCCCGGAAGCAAGAGTGAGAGAATAAGGCTGCTTCGGTCCATTTCCAAAGTCTGCAAGAGACCAGCAAGAAAGAGGCATAACTGGTCTACCATATAATTCAGTGAATCTTCAGGTTATCCAATGTGGTTAGCTTTTTTTGTGTGAATTCTTGTGAATTTTCCAAGTATCCTTTTTTTTTTTAATTTTTTAAGTTAATTTATTTTGAGAGAGACAGAGTGTACGGGAGGGGCAGAGAGAGAGGGAGAGAAAAAGAATCCCAAGCAGGCTCCTCGCAGCCAGCGCAGGGCCAGACGTGGGGCTCGAACTCACAAACTGCGAGATCGTGACCCGAGCTGAAGTCGGACCCTTAACCACCTGAACCACCCAGGCGCCCCTCAAGTATCCTTCTCTACCAAGTAGACAGGAGGGGTGTGCTCAGTAACACCTGCTCAGGTCTTATTTAGAATGTCACAAAGTATAGGGGTGCCTGGGTGGCTCAGTCACTTAAGCATCCACCTTCGGCTCGGGTCATGATCTCGCGGTTCGTGGGATCGAGCCCAGAGTTGGAGCTTGTGTTGACAGTGCAGAGCCTGCATGGGATTTTCTCTCTCCCTCCCTTTTGGCCCCCCCCCCACCCCCCCCCTCAAAATGGATACATAAACTTTCAAAAGAAAGAAAGGTGTTTTATAAGAGACTGTGGGGAACAGAATGGAGATGATTGCCTTGAGTATTTCACATAAAGACATAAGGAGTCCTAAGTGTATCCATGATTAGGCATTCCTCTGTAGAAGGGACCCCAAACTGGTTTAATAAAATAGGTCAGATCGTTTTTTAAGTTTGAACTAAATAATGGGGCTCTATATTTGTTCCTTTTAGGGGATTGGATTCAGTCAAGTGTTGACAAAATTCGGTCAAGTGGTCAATGGCAGGGGAGAGAAGTAGACAGGGGCTGGGGAAAAGGCCAAGGAGATGTGAACTATACATTGTGTTCTTGTGTTTGCTTTGAGGACCATTCAGACAGCCCCCTTGGCGCAGCTGTGACCCTGGCACACGAGCTGGGCCACAATTTCGGGATGAACCATGACACTCTGGAGAGAGGCTGTGGCTGCAGTGTGGCTGCTGACAAAGGAGGCTGTATCATGAACCCTTCGACCGGGCAAGTACCGACATTTCTCTACTTGCAGAGCTGGGCCTGGCGTTGAAGTGCATATTGGGAAACTGCTGAGCAAAAATCTCCCTGGTTTCCTGGCAAGAGCACCCATGGAAACTTCCAGAAAGAAGTCCCTTCCTAAGTAGCAAGAGTGAACTGCACTCCTCTGAGAAGGTCATAGGCAACCAGATGGCAATGCCACATGGCATAAGGATAGACTTCTCTGAGAAGTGGCGGGGGTGGGGGAGGGGTAGACACTGTCTTTGTTTAGAAATTGAGACATTATCCTACAATCTGAGCACATGTTTTCTATTTGAGCCCACAGCTCCAGTGCCCCGGCCATCCTAGGGCCTGGAAACTCGCTGGGCAAAGGGGTCGAGGTTAGATGGGTCACACGTCCTTCAGAACGTGCTAGTTGGGGAGTGTTTCTTCCCTCAGGGTTGGCCCAATGACGTCTCTGAAATACATCGATAGCACGGGGCCGGGGCGGGTGGGGGGGGGGGGCAGGTACCAGCGTCCCTACATCTGATGCATCCACCTTATTGGATCCGAGAGGTTTCAATGACATGACTGACTGCTCCCTGTCAGTAAATTACGTCTTTCTTTCTCATGGAATGCCTTTCAGAAACTCTAGACTTGGTTCACCCAGGAAAAAGGGAAGATAGTTTCACTAAGGGACCATTCAGATGAGGTGGAAAGAGACATCACGTGGAGTGATTGAGTACAGGTTCTGATTAGATCCCGATGCCTCCACGAGCCCATCCCAAACCCGAGTGCTGTGCTGATGTGGGGAGATTTTCATTAGGAAAGGAGAACACGCACTTGTTGCCATCTCCTTTTTTTATATCTGAATGAGACCTTCCCAGTGCTTGTCTTCACGGCACTTTCCCGGCGAAGCTCCCTCTCTGGGCTTGCTGAAGGCCGCACTACCATGGGAAGCCAGTCCGGACTTACAGCCCAAAGACTGGCCTCTCTGAAGACCTACTGGCGGGGGCCAGGCCTGGCATGAGGGGGGGACACCTGCCAGAGGCATAAAGGCCCCAGGAGAGGGATGGATTGTTACAAAACGCAGTTATGCTTTGGCAAGCAGCAGCTTTGGGGGGCTCCTCAGCTGGCTCCTAGGGCATCACATTCCCCCCAAAAACAAAGACTGGGCGGCGCTGCACATCGCCCCTGCATGAGAAGTGTTCGTGAGGCATCTCCTTGTCACCTTATTAGCAAGTTACTGCTTCTCTTCACCGCCATTAGCGCGGAGCCTTCGGGGATGCATGCTTTTTGCCTCTGGTTCTGTCTTCAGCATGATTCAAGGGAGTCACCAAGACCTTGTAGAGGAACTTGCTCTGAGTCTATAATAACAGAAGCCAAGAACCTGAGCCCAAAGTGCTAGTACCTTAGGCCAACAGCAACAGGAAATGAAATATTGCAAAACCCTAGATACTAACAAGGGAGCTCCCCAAGAGGGACACAGGCTTCTCTGAGAAAGTGTGTAGGACTCTTGTCATGTAAACAGTCCAGGCAGAGGCAAGATAACTATCTGCTGGGCATTTGGGGCAAAGAATTCCTTCTTAGGATGTGAGGTTGGGCCAGGGGCCTGTAGGTATCTCCTTTTTCCCGTGGAATACTGGCCAGACAGACCCCAGCATCACTGGCCAGCTTGCTGCGTGAATCTCAGACAAGGAAGCTGGTAGGAAATGAACATACAACTGAGTGGTCTTCAGGCTTTCTCATTCCTGATGAACTCCAAGTGGCTACAGAAAATTCTCTGTTTCCTTAATTTCCCTGATGATCAAATAGGCACCAAACATTAGCCTCTATTCCCCCCACAAGTGGTTTCCAGTGACTAATATTGTGTATGTTTTACAACTCTTGATAAACTTGGCAGACGGAAGAGAGGAAAATCTAGACTGGGAACCCTGGACTGAGATTGAAGAGACCGAGTAGCCCCTGTTCTGATACCAATTGTTTTGGGTATTACAGTATACCAATTGTTTTGGGTAATACAGGCAAATGAGTAACCCCTCTGTCTTCCCATTCTTCATCAGGAAAATGAGTGAGCTAGTCTTTTTCCTTCCTTCCTTCCTTCCTTCCTTCCATCCATCCATCCATCCATCCATATTCATCCATCTCTCCATCTTTTCATCATCTCATCCATACCTCCACCCATCCTTCCACTTACTTGTTCACATAGTCAACAAATATTTTTGACCCCTGGGCCTATTGTCATGGGGAACACACAGAGGAGGGAAACCCTACAGCTCTAAAAATTATATGATTCCGGAGGCACGAACAGCAAGACCTACTTTCGGATACTCCCTATAATTTTGTGTAAACCCCTTCAACTGAGAAAGTCTTCATGGCGGTGTTTAAGGATAGGAGCCAAATGACCCTGGAGATACTCGAAATTCACAGGTAGAAATGCTATTGTTAAGAGCTCAGCAAATCATTTCAAAGGGTTTTCCCCCCTTACCAGGGGTTTGCTAATAGCCTTTACTTGATTTATATCTTATTAGCAATTTCTCAGTTTTCTCTTTTGCTGAGCTTGTGCTTTTGTGTAAATCTCTTCTATTTGGTTCTCATTTATGATCCCACATTCCTGTCCAGAGAGTGGTGTTTTTAATTTTCTCAGATGGAAAGAAACTTCCTAAAGCAAGTGGGTGAATTAATCACAAAAGTCCACAGTGAGGGGGAGGTCAAGCCGCCCAGGCAACCCGCAGCCATCCATCACCCATCGGAGACCTTCCAGGCTGCTTTTAATCTGCAGTATTATCTCAACGTGGTCATTCTCTTACCTCACAGGGGCCCCTCGAGAGCAGCGGAGTGGATTAAATGAGATCACGTGTCTTTGTAAATTGTAAATCACTCCACAAATACACGGTGGTAGTATTGCTATTATTGTTTAGCTCACAGGGGTGTTGGAACCATCGAGACGTTGAGGGCCTCTTCCAGAAGCCCTGTGCTCAGCTGCTGGAAAGCACTTTCGTTCCCACTAAAGGTCCCTCAGCAACTCGCCCACGGTTTCTCTGTGAATGGCTCGTTGTAAACCGGCCCACGTCCAAACACCAGCCCTCCTCCTGACTTCCTCTGCACCACTGATTTCAGGCACCGGCAGCAAACATTAAAAAATGTTATTTGAGTCGTAGCCTCGAAGGTGAGCCTCGAACAGAGACGAATCGGTGACTGCTTTAATGATACTCAGATCTTCCCGAATCACAAAGAACCAAGTATCGCGGATGTTTTCGAGGGGAAAAGCACAACCCTTGATGTACCGTGTTTATTCCTTATCGAGGCATTCCAGAATCCCAACTCCGAAACGTTCGCCGCCTGCCATCATTGACAAATGGGACCCAAAGCCCTGGGAAAACTACGCTGGCATGCAGTCCTGCTACAACGGGGTGTTACGACTTGGGTCACATCTTACAGGCTAGTTGGAGAGGGGGGGGGGGGTTCCGTACAGGTTGTACCATTAATTACTGCAAGGCCGGCCGTGTGTGCGAGCATGTGTTTTATGTCTGTGGATAGTTAACATGAAGACCTGCCTTGGAAATTACTCTTTGGCAAAAGCAGTCTCTGGGGATTCGTGTGGGAGTTTAAACTCAATTGAGACCATCCATTAATGAGCTCCGTGGAGCATTTGGTCTGAAAGGGTTTGAGGACAAAGCATGCCACATTTATGGGAGGAAGAAAAATGTGAAGAGTTTGAACACTTTTGGAAAAGATTACTTAGCGTCGTTGTAAATGTCACTTCCCAGAGTGGACCAAAAAAAAAAAAAAAAAAACACAAAGCAGTATTGGCATTCAAAACCTACTCTCAGAGCTTCCTTTATTTTTGGCAGGAAGTTTTCTGTTAAAAAGAGTTGGAGTCAGAGAGCCTCTCATGGTGGGAATGTAGCTGAGTCTGAGGCTCATACCGACCCAGCTCCTGCGGGATATCATACGCCCTGATGCTCAGATATCAGCGTGACAACCGTGAACGGGACAGACCCCCTTCTTGCCTCCTGGAGCTTGCACTCTCTTGGGGAAGACAGACTTGAAAAACAATAAATTAAAAACCACAAGTTAAAAGGAGTGCTTTGAAGGACACACAGGAAGAGGGTGGAAAGGAAACGCGTGGGCTAGGGGCCCCCCCCTTTTATTAGGGGGTTTGGGGCAAAGCTCTCTTGGAGGTGACAGTTAAGCAAAAAGCAAAAGGAAGAGGGGGATGGAGAGTCCCCAGAGAGGGGGGAGGTCGTGCAGTTGGGTGGAGGGGACCAGAGACCAGGGGCTCGTGGGGCTGGATCCGGATGGGGGTGGGGCCTGGGGGCCGGGGGAGCTGGTGCCTGCTGGCGACGAGGGGGGTGGGGGGCGGCCGAGCAAGCAAAGCCCAGTCCACCAGACAGGGATGTGGTTTTGTCTCCAGGGCAATGAGAAGTCGTTGGAGGGTTTTAGGCAAAGCAAAACTATGACCTGACTTCCCTTTTAAGATTTCTTCGCTTCTTTTTTTAAGGTTATTTATTTATTAAGAGAGAGAGCGCGCAGGGGGAGGGCAGAGGGAGTGGGAAAGAGAGAATCCCAAGCAGGCTCTGCGCTGTCAGCACGGAGCCTGACGTGGGGCTCGATCCTGCGAACCGGGAGATCATGAACCAAAATGAAATCAAGAGTCAGACGCTCAGCTGACTGAGATACCCAGGCAGCCCGAGATTTCTTCACTTTTAAGATCACTAGCATTCAAGCTATTATGGCTTGCCAAATTAAGCGGTTTGTGTCTATTTTTATAAAGGCAGGACACGCTTCTTGGAAAACCTAAGTAAGCGCGACAGGGTGTAAAGTCTGGTGTATTTTGCTGTAGTTAATAGGCATGAGGGATTCAATGAGAGGTGTCTTACATCAGCACCCCAGGCTGCGCGCCCCGCACTCTCACCTCCCAGCTTTGCGTACGTGATGTACAAAATGCTGTTCTCTCTAGGATGTCGCTTTGCTTTCCTTACACCAAGCATCCTTTGAGGACTCAACTTCAAAGAGCCACGGAA